TAATAATAATACTCATAATAATACCCAAAAAATACTCACTGGACTAAAGAGCTTGAAAACTAAGGCTGACTGATACTCACTACTCCTCTCTACACCAAACTCTTTCCCGCTCAGGATGTGATGTAAGAGATTCTTCATGTCAAAAGGACTGAGGCTCATCAGGCTCTCTGACGCCTCCTCACCTGTAGACATCATATGGACAGATTTATTGCACTGAATGAAAAGAGTGGCATTCTAAAACCAAAACGCTGATTGGCTGTACCTGAGCAGTGTAAACTGCGAGCAAGTTCTGTAGCCATTACTTGCATGATGAGCCCGATGCGCAGACGCAGCATGTCTCCAAACAGAGACGGCTGAGAGCGCACATACATGGCCAGATACACCATGATCTCCTGAGTTCAGAAGTTTAATAAGTGGGATCAATTTTACTGAATGCTAAAGGAAAAATAGCAACATAACTTTAATGTAAGGCTTAAAATTAGCACTACCTGTGTGAGGACAGCAATGCTAATGTCTTGTCCACTGGCCTCATAAATCAAGCTAATCAGTTCCTCGGGAGGAAGAGGACTAAAAAATAAATGAATTGGTTAAGTAAAAGGAGAATATTAAAATTATTGCTTTATAAAAATGAATGACTAAAGACACTCACATTGTGATGACCTTCTCTCTGGGCTCAGGAGGAAGACCCACTGTCAGCTGTTTATGATGGGAGATCAGATCTGTGCAGGACTAAGTGCATACAAACAAACAAAAAGCAAAAATAAATAATTAAATAAAAATTAGAGGCATAACTGTTGCCACTGAGGGTTAAACTTATATAAATAATTTCTACTCTTTGTTAAGATTATTACAGTTTTAATCGAATAAATTTATATTTTAAGACAATTTTCTTAATTTAGGATTAAAGTTGGAAAAGTCTGGAAAAGTTGTAAAAAATAAATGATGAAAAAAGTTTCCAAGACATTTTTGATGAGACTTTTCTGTTTTTAAATAAATGTTCTATTGTTTTTTATTTACTTTCAATTCATCAACAACAACAAAAAAATCCTTAGAAAAGTATAATGGTTTCCACAAAAATATTAAAGGGTAAACTCCGCATTTGAACAGTCAATAGCAAATACTTAAACTAATAACAAAACAGTAGCTGATTCAGAAGCGCCAGATTGTCATAGCAAAGTCAGAATTACCTCCTCTCCTAGGTTCACGAAATGGTCGTCCATAAAATGCATTGCTGTTCTGTTGTAAGTAATCTTAAAGATTCCTAAATGCATCTACTTTCGGAAGGCCAAATAAAGTGCTTTTGCTTTCGCCTAGAAACACACAGCGTCTCCCTGACATGGCTGCTTCAACACTAACTGCGGTTACTGAAACCACGCCTTCTTTCTTTGCGTGCACATTTGGGCCGCATTATGCAAATATTTCCACATAGTGAGGTAGATATGTGGGGGCGTGTTAGAACGAGCCGTTTTAGGGGGGCGTGGCAGAGTCTTAACTTTGATAAAGAATATCTCTTTGGTTTTGAGACTTTAGTCTTTGCAACTTCAGGGATCTTATCTATGCACAATCAGCTTGTAACACTCCAAAGAGAAAGGAAAACTTGAAATCGCATCATATGACCCCTTTAAGCGGCCCAACTGTTTTCAACATTGATAATAATAAGAAATATTCTTGAGCAGCACATCAGCATATCAGAATGATTTCTAAAGTATCATAATGATGTAATGATGCTGACAATTCAGCTTTGTCATCACAGAAATAAATTACATTTTTAAATATTTTAAAATTGAAAACAGTTATTTTAATTTGCACTAATATTTCACAATATGTTTTTATCAAATAAATGCAACCTTGGTGAGTATATGAGACATTTAAAAAAAATTGCAATTCTTACCGACTCCACACTTCTGAATCATAGTGTAACAAAGTTTTAAAATGTCAAAATTCTGAATATGTACATTTTAATTTTATATATATATATATATATATATATATATATATA